CAAAGTGTCGGAGGTTAACTGTACTTTTAAGTGACTGGTAACAGTTTTTACACATAGAAAGAGCCTGAAAGTCGAACTATGAAGACAGCAGACAATTAAATTCCTGCCGCTGCTTCATTTCTAGCTTCAAGTGCATTTCCAACAAAACAAACAAACCAAGTTCTTCAAAACAAGCGTACGAACCAACCCTAAGGAGCTCTACAGCTGTTAGCCTCTTATTACAACATGAAAGAAAGAGTGCCTTTGTTACCTTTTTGCGAATAAGTGACATGACTCCAATGCGGGTGAGGACGTGCTGCCGAGACAGCCCTTCTCTGGGGACGCCGTCCGCAAAGGTCTCGGCCCCGTCGGCCCCGGGCTCACAGAGGTGACGCATAAACAAAGACACGTAGGCCCTGAGGGGGTTTAAAAGATGAAGCAATAAAAAGCTTTATTACATCAGCTTGAAAATGTGGCAGAAGACCACCTCGATGAGCGCTTCACTGTCTTCAGTGGAAGCCACGCGTTTGTATTTAAGCTGAGATCCTCACTTGAATTCTTTCTCAGATTTCCCTCGCAGGTCTCGGACCAGCCACTGGGTGGTGAAGGCGTCTTGTGGGGGCATCCCATAACGCATCACTGCGTTCAGGAAGGCCTTCCTCTGCCGAGAGTTGAAGCCCAAAACCTGGGAAACGTCAGAGGGGTAAACATCAGAGTTTACATACAGAGAACAAACAGACTGTTACGGACACAAGATTGTGTCAAAAGATCCACGATATTTGAGTTTTGAGATATACCACCATTATACCTTAAAGACTATTCAAAGAACAAGGTCACCACTGATACACTTATAATCTGAGATCTTTGAAGCTTTGAGTCTCTGAGACGCTCACCTCGATGTTGCCCCCCACCCTGGCCAGCAGGGGAGGCAGCGGTTTGTCTTTGTCGTTCCTCAGGCCCTTCCTGCTCGGCCTGCGAGAGTTGGCTGCAGAGAGGAAACAGCGCCGGTGATTTTACAGATGATAAGAAACACTCTGCAGGGAGGCAGACCGTGCTGCAACACTCAACATTAACGTTTCCCTTTTCCGTCTACAGAATCACATTCAGAGCTTATCGAGTTAAAAGCTTATAATACATTCAGTTTCTCTTGTCTGTCGTTTAAACCTTTAGTTATTCTGTTCTGCAGGTTTAACATGAGTCGCTTTTCCAAAAAATATTTTTTTAAACAGAACAATTTTGTGAGTAAGTGAAGCTGGAGATCCTTGTAAAGTAACCAGCACTAATTAGACTGCCTTAAACGTACAGAGCAAATATTAAACATTTCATCCTGGACCTCAGGAAACAAGTTAACCAAGTTCTTACCTTCTGATCTCTCGTCAAAGTCCTCATCGCCCTCCTCAGATGCCACCGAGTAATCTGATTGGCCATCTGACTGGTCATCCTGCCAATCAGCTTTGAGACAAAAGTAAAAAGGAAGATTTAAATTTCATCATTTCTCTATCTGCACGTACGCACACCACAG